GATGATCCCCAGGCTGATATGTTTAAGTTGAGTATGACATTTAAACCAGTTTTGGAGTGGTTTACAACTCGAGATAGAGACTTAAAGCGTCTTCATTATTGCCCCTTTTGTGACGAATTTTATGGTGATAAATACAAAAACACCTTAATTATCACATTGATAAAGTGTGAGTCAATTATCACAGAGAATTGAACCAAAATCAACTTGTTCCATTTTTAATGCACATATTAAACACTTGATTTTTTTGCAGTGAATTCTATCATGACAATTGAAAACACCTATACTCCCACTCTTGTTGGACTCCACTACAAAGAACTTCAAAAAGCTCTGAACAAATGTGGTATCACAAGAACAACTTTACAAATGACAATTGATCAATTAAATGAAAAAGCCAAATTAATTGATCCAAGTCTTTCTATAAAACCACACACTTGTTATAAATTTGCTGTTTTTAACTTGGGATGCAACGAAAGTGTCAATATTGCAAATGCTGAGGACTTATCAAATACATCATTAAACACAGTGGGTTTTAGTGGTTCTAGAACTGGTGAAAATGTTAATATTTTAACATCAACAGACCTACCAAGAACTGGAAATAGTTTCACAATAATTCCACAACCTTTTCATTTGAATCTTAGTGCTTCATACCAAAACACCAATGAAGTGCAACAGATAGATGTTACACAACAAGAAATTGATTCAAATCAAATAGTTGGTAATCAAATTGTAACAATACAAGAAACACGAACTCCTGTCATTATTGACAACGAAGAAACTTCAGATGAGTCGACGAATATTGGTAGTGGAGAAGTAGTTGACCATTCACAAATTGACACTGAATACACTGAAAACGACGAAGAAACATTCGAACAACACAACACATCCATCACATGTGATGAAGAATCTTCAAGCTATGAAGAACACCCACTTGAACGCCTTGACGATTTGAGTTCTGAAGAAGAGAAAATGACTAGCATACAAAGAGTCGAGAATCGTAATAAGAACAAAAAATATTGACATGTATTTTAGAATTAATTGAAAGAACAAACACGATAAAAGAAGACAAATGCCAGATGGTGATAACAGAAATAACAAACAGAGTGAATATGGAAAACATAAACAAAGATCAAAAAGAAAGGAATAAACTTTTCAGAAATTATTTCATTTGTCTGTTGTCGGTGTATTTTTCTTATTTGAGTCTAACGACTTTTCAAATAGAAAAAACACTTGAAGTGATGCAAATTGTTGTGGGTTGTGGTGGGTTTGAAATTGATCTTAAAATGTGCGCCAAAACCATCCAAAGACGTATTACTTTGATGCGAGATTTAGATAAAACAATATTATTTGAGATGTCACTTGATCACACTAAAATCCATTTGATATGCGACAGCACAAAACTTAGAGGTCGAGAAACGTTTTCTTTGTATGCTCGCACATTGGACGCCAACAATAACCCATCAGAGGTTAAAATCAAGATTGTTAGTTATTATGGTGACACAACAAGCAATGGGTGGCAAATTTGGGTTGTGAGGGTACTGCACCATTATCACATCTCTTTGAGCCAAATAGTTGGCGTCTCTGTTGATGGGTCAAACAACATGACGAAATTGGGACGTCTTTTGAAAGCGCTTGTGATTCGTCACACAACTTCAAAACAAGCTAGAAGAACATCTCGTGTTCTGTTGAATGAGCAGGTGGGAACGAGAAAGCAGTTTATATCAGACACGCACCAACATTCAAGTTCTCAAAACACTTTACGGTCTATTCAAATTAATGATTATTCTCAAATATCAACACTTTCCAATCCGGGTATTTCCACCACTTTTCAAGAATTCACTTCACAACAAATAACTGTTAATTCTCAAAACAACAATTGTGAATTCAAATACAATTATTGTTTTTGCCATCGTTTTTCTAAAGCACAAGAAAAAATATTCGAAATAAACGAGGGAGATTTAATAAAACGATTCGTCAAATACATTTCAGATCAAGGAATAAGAGGGGATTGGAACAGTTACATTAATAGAAATTGCATTCAAAATGTTGCATTACAAATACGTTATTATTCAAATACACGTTTTTGTTATACCGAACTAATATTATGTTTTATTTTTGAGCACTTTGATGTTTTCAAATCTTTTATAGATCAAAACAAAAAATTTCAGTTTGTTCCCAATACTCAAAATATATTATCGAACTCACTTGGAAATGCTTCATTTGACAACAACAAATTTGTTGGAGCTCTTTTTTTCGTAGAATACATTTTTTCGGAATCAAAACTGATAACTGAATGGCTACAAACGCCAAAACTGGTATTCGCGACAGCTTTTACTCGTATTCAAAGATATATAAAATATCTTTTTTCCCTTAAAAATACAGTATATGATAACAATAACGATTTTTTGCCACACTTCCTTTTATACGTGAAAACACTGTAGATGATATTAAAGTTCTCAGAAGTGTTTGTGGTGGTTTTATAGAAAGATTTTTGCAGGCGCTTGTTTATCGTTTTGTAAATCCGTTCAGAAAAAATGTCTCGCTGTGAAATGGGTAATGGTATTTCGATACGAGAAAAAGATTTTCAAATTGATAGCTTTGAAGAGTATTTAGATTTATACAAAGCAAAGACCCCACAAGAAGTTCGAATGAAAATTGAGGCATGCATCATTCCCAATGAGCTTCACGATAATTTATTCAACGAAGAGTTGTTGACAGAAATTATACAAGTCAAACAGTGGAAAGATCACAATATCAACTTGTTTTCTCATTTAAGAGAATTGCAAAAAAAACACAAAAGTACGTATCTCCAAATATTAAAACCACTGTTGATATAAGAAAAATTTTAGTAACGAATCGAAACACCACTGGTCACTTCATTAAACAGTGGGTGTTTGACTGGGATTTTGCTGAAAGTGAGTCGTTTAATGACATTAG